GGAGCGTTAACATGGAAAAAATAGCTTGTTTTGCCGATTTTTCTGTCTCCTCTTCGAGATACGCCATATTGTTTTTTATTTCCGCTGCTCATTACTATTGCAGTGCATTTTGCCCTACCCCAATACCCCAGGGTGGGATTTGTTTGTCCGTTGCTAAGCAGATGAATTTCCGGTAAGTGTGTGCATGTGTAGTATCATATAGCATTTCAAGATGGCGCCGCCTTAAAAGAAACGTAAGATGTCGAAGGCTGAGAGAAAAAGCAAGCGGTGGAGAGGGAAAAAAGGAGCTGAAAAATGACGAAAAGGTGTTGGAAGTAGACAAACATTCACGCTGCTGGCAAAATGGAAAGAGGAGAAGTACGAGTGTGGGAACAAGACAAGGTTGCAATTTTTGAGTCCTGGTAAGACCAAGTACAAAACTCAGAAAGCCGTAAAGGAAACTCTTGTTATGAGGGGCATGGGAAAATGTCTTCACGACCATTTGGCTAGCGCATCAAGCTCTGAAGAAAGCCAAACAGAGGACCCAGAATTTTTGCCAAGCAGTGAAGGTGAAGAAACAAAAGAATCCCAAATGAAGCTGCCGAAAGGAGAAGAGATGGAAAGGCGGTTGTTTGTTTGAGTCATCTCAGCTAATGGCTTTGGTTCAGCAAATAAATGACACGTCTAAATACAGCACCAGCGATTGCAACGGCAATTTTCTCGATTTTGTTTCAATAGCATTATATTCCTTGACCTATTTTAGTGAGCTTGACCTTTCTATAGTAGCTTTCACATGTCTTTGTGGCATGGACAAGTAACCGCATAAACTTACTTATTTTGACATAGTTATTTAGCTGCCACACAATGACTTACATATTTTATATATCAATAATAAAAACAATAATAATAATTAACAATTTTTGGACGAGGTTGTGTAAAATATCGTGATTTTTGAGTGGCAAGCGACTGAGGCAGATAATATTGATCTGCAAGACACTGACGAATTATAATATTTTGCTAAAACCAAGTTCAATAATAATGGTGTTATTATCAGATCACTAAGTTGGTTTTTCGTGGACACAACTACTCATGAGCAGAATATTATTTATGGCTAAATCACTGTTGGATACTTATGTGCATGAGCAGACCATTATTTGTAG